GGCGCAAAACGAGAAACTTAGAAAAGTGAGACGTTCTTTTTTTTTCCTTTTCTTTTCGTTGTACTGGGTACACGCGCGTGTAATATTTTTAGCCTTGTAAATTTGTGCTCTTCTGTAAAGGTTTCTCGCGTAAATGTCTTTAAGCGACATTTGTAATTTATACATTCGGTGATAGAAACGATCAGAGAGAGAAAGATGGTAAGAGAGAGAGAGAAAGAGAGAGAGTGAGAGAGAGGGAGAGAGAGAGGGAGCGAGAGAGGGAGAGAGAGAGAAAGAGAGAGAGGGGAGTTCAGACACATTCGACTGTATCATATTAGGTGATAGTTAACGAGGATTCATACAGATCCATGCAAAACAATTCTGTCGTTTAGTTTAGCTTGTTAGGGACGCCGCGAGAATCAGCGATCGCTGTCCACGCGATCGCGTGTGGTGCGACGATCGAACGTCGTCGGTAAGTGGGAAGGAACTCGCAATTGGAACGATAAGCGGTCGGATTCGGAGGTAACACAAACAACAGAGAAACGAGAAAATAAAAAACAAGTGAAACTGTGAATGCGCCGTACTTTGCTCTCGTGTAACGCCTTGTATATTACATAACTCGCAAGGTGACGACCTGATTACATTGCTAGACTTAAGGAGTTACTCGTTTAAATGGTATGCCCCAATGTAATATTTAAGTTGCGTGCCTGTATTTTGTATGATCGAGTGAGTCCAAGGAAGGAAATAAACAAAACTATTCCTTGCTACGAAGATTACTATGTGTTCTCTTATTTCTTGGTGCGTTTCCAAGTCTGTTCGATCAAAGGTTCAGTTCCGTTTTGGTGTCAAATTTTGCTCAGTGTGCTTGGTTATATACACGAAATACAAACTCTACCGTCGAGATCGTCGGATCCGATTGGAAATTCTCGCGACGTTTGGTGTGGCAAGGCTAACATGTCCGCACATTAAAGATCAAAAGAACAAAGAGAGAGAGAGAAAAAAAAAAGTTTGTTTATTTGTTATACGATACATCTAGATGACGGGGTAGCATGCAATTAGAGAAAGCTCCAAAAAAATGATTTCGAAAATGGCACCAAAACACTGCCTTTGCCATTCCAAACTTGGAGTCAGCCAAGGTATAAGCAGGCACATTCATGAGCGTCTTGCACAACGTTTGAAATTCATGTAAGAGAATACTGACGCGAAACGAGAGTAATTTTGAAAGCTTTTAAAGAGACGAACGAGCCTTTGAACGAGCAAAGCGTCCGTACACTTTTTTCCTACACACTTTCCCAGGTGCTTCAAGACCCGATAGATCATTCAGCGTTACGTTCTTGTCCGAACTTTCCCCCGAGAAGAAGAATTACGGAAATGTTAACAACGAAGAGGATACCATTTGTTTCTTATAAAGTTCTTCGTCATTACTTGGAATTTCACACGGTGTACATGACGCTCGTCTCTCGCAAACTTTTTGTTTCTTTCCCAGCGGATGTATATTGTTAACAGTCCTCGAATTAGATCTGATAGTAGTGCTTTTAATGTCTTACAGATATGGTTGTCGGAGGATAATATGGAACAGATGCCGGTTAGTATACAAATGATGCTTTAATTTTCCATTCCCTTTTGAAGTCGGGTTTCTCTAATTTCTTTAATTATCAGATGTGGTGTCCACCAACGCCGCCGACGACAGATAACGATGTTTACATCGACTACTCCCTGGGATTCCTTTATGAGAACACCCCTATGTCCGAAGCTCAGTTGCCACCTATTTATATTAAAAAGGAACAAAAGAGGAGTAGAGCCGACGCTGGAATCAACGATCGCGATGGTAATACATTAAACGACACGTGTATCAAAATGTTTTTTCTTTTTCTGATACTTGTGTATTAATTACAATCGTATTTTATCAGGGCGGAGAGCGGTTAAAATGCGTCATAAAGAGGAATCTGTTTACGCGCCGAGATCGTTGTTCGATCGGCCGTCTCCGGCGCTCATGAAGATGCGTCGCGATATGAAATTGCACAAGCATCGTGCAATGGTTCGTCCATCAATTCCGCTGCCAGGAATAAAACCGTCACATATGTCGAAATCATCTACAGACCAGGAACATGTCCTCGACTGGATGATACACGAAGACTGGGCTCTACTTCAAGCCATTCAGATCTATCAAGGGCTGCCGTTGAATCTAATGATTTTGTCGCCTGGTCACACGCCCAATTGGGATTTGGTTGCCGATATAGTTAACAACACTTCGCGAATATACAGATCTCCGAAGCAATGCAGAAGCAGGTACGAGTCGATGATAGTGCCGAGAGAAGAAGGGAAGTTGTTGTACGACACTACGCCGAAGAAGCAAAAGAAACAGAAAGGTGTTTACAAGGTGCCCCAAGCGGCCGAGGTACATCGTGTTCTTTTTATCATGCTTATCATGTAAAACGAATGTTCGATGACAGTGTTCATACGTTTCCTTTTTTCTTTTCAGCAACAAAGTAAAACAAACAGACCTATGAAAACGTCTCAGTTATATATACAGGATAAAAATCATTCGTTCACGTTGATGTGCTGTCAAAGGTTCGATACCATAAAATCTGTATCCAACAAGAGAACACCTACTGTCAAACCATTATTGGTTAATCCGTTGATGAAGAATCCAACAAATGCAGCTGTGTTAGCGGAAGGTGGTATTCAG